GCTACAGGATACACTGAGGAGTGGAAATGATCGCTTACGGAGTGAACTGTTCGATGTGCACTTAGGATGATCTGTTGACTAATTACATAATATCCACATAAATGACATTAAAAAAAATTTATTTAAACAGAACAGATTAATAATATTTTCACAGTCAGTTTTATGAGTTAGACTTTTTCAGGAAGAGGATAACCTTGGCCATAACCCTGGCCGTAACCTTGACCATAAACCTGACCACAACCTTGATCATAAGCTGGGGGTGGGTAACCTTGGCCATAACCTTGTGGCACAGCGTCAGGTCCGGGTTGTAGCATCGGCTGCTGAGATGCCATAATCACCACGCCTGGGGTAGCCTGGGGGAGATAGTCAAGATTGTTCAGTAACTCATTTAGCAGATTTTCAAAACTTATTTAGTAGATTTTCAAGACTGTTTATTAACTTATCCGGTAGATTAACAAGACTGTTCATTAACACATTTCGTAGATTTTAAAGATTGTTCATTAACTCATTTAGTAGATAGTAAAGATTGTTCTAACTCCTTTAGTAGATTATCAAGATTGCTCATTAACTCACTTAGTCGACAGTCAAGACTGTTCATTTACTCACTAAGTAGATAGTCAAGACTGTTCATTTACTCACTAAGTAGATAGTCAAGACTGTTCATTTACTCACTAAGTAGATAGTCAAGACTGTTCATTTACTCACTAAGTAGATAGTCAAGGCTGTTCATTTACTCACTAAGTAGATAGTCAAGGCTGTTCATTTACTCACTAAGTAGATAGTCAAGGCTGTTCATTTACTCACTAAGTAGATAGTAAAGGCTGTTCATTTACTCACTAAGTAGATAGTCAAGGCTGTTCATTAACTCACTAAGTAGATAGTCAAGACTGTTCATTTACTCACTAAGTAGATAGTCAAGACTGTTCATTTACTCACTAAGTAGATAGTCAAGACTGTTCATTAACTCACTAAGTAGATAGTCAAGGCTGTTCATTTACTCACTAAGTAGATAGTCAAGACTGTTCATTTACTCACTAAGTAGATAGTCAAGACTGTTCATTTACTCACTAAGTAGATAGTCAAGACTGTTCATTTACTCACTAAGTAGATAGTCAAGACTGTTCATTTACTCACTAAGTAGATAGTCAAGACTGTTCATTTACTCACTAAGTAGATAGTCAAGACTGTTCATTAACTCACTTAGTCGACAGTCAAGACTGTTCATTTACTCACTAAGTAGATAGTCAAGACTGTTCATTTACTCACTAAGTAGATAGTCAAGACTGTTCATTTACTCACTAAGTAGATAGTCAAGACTGTTCATTTACTCACTAAGTAGATAGTCAAGGCTGTTCATTTACTCACTAAGTAGATAGTCAAGGCTGTTCATTTACTCACTAAGTAGATAGTCAAGGCTGTTCATTAACTAATTTAGCAGATTTTTAAGATTGTTAATTAATTTAAGTAAAGTGGTATTATGATAACTCAGATTGTGTGGAGTGTTATTATTTTAGCCCCTATTGTGTGGAGTGGTATTATTTTAGCTCCTTTTGTATGGAGTAGTATTATCTTTAACTCCTTTTGTGTGGAGTGCTATTATGTTAGCTTCTTTTGTGTGGAGTGGTTTTATTTCAGCTCCTTCTGAGCAAAGTGGCATTATTTTTGCTCCCTTTGTGCAGAGTGCTATTATTTTAGCTCCTTTTGTAAGGAGTGATATTATTTCAGATCCTTTTATGTGAAGTGATATTATGTTAGCTCCTTTTGTGTCATCACCAGTTCTCCTTATGCCTAGTGGCACATGAGGCTTCAGAGAGGACTTTCCATGCTTTCATGTCCTGTGCAATCTTCATTGCAGTTTTCTATGTCAAAGATGCCGCACTCAGGTCACTTCCCATCGTTCGTCTCCATGTTGTTTTTGGGCGCCCCTCTTTTCTCTCTCCCTCTGGTGTCTATGTGAGAGCTGTTTTGGCAGGTATATCAGAAGTCATTCTCATAACGTGGCCAAGCCATTTCCATCTTTTCTTGGTAATCATGCTGTCTAAAGTTTCTTGGTTTGTGGCTTGAAGTAGTTTAGTGTTTGAGATTGTATCTGGCACAAAATTTTGATAATTCTACGTAGACATGTGTGGTGGAAGGTGGACAGCTTGTGTGCATCCTTTTTGGTCATTCTCCAGCATTCTGCTCCATAAAGAAGAACTGGCAAAATGATGCTCTTGTAGAGTCGGAGTTTCGTTCCTCTGCAGTAATTGTTGGATTTCCAGATTTGCCTCATCCTTCCAAAAGCAGCTCTAGCTTTGTTCAGACGTGACTGTATGTCTTCCTCTGTCCCTCCCAGTAGGGACACCACACTGCCAAGATATGTGAAATGTTCTACATTTTCAAGTGATTGGTTACTTATGGTCACTGGTTGTTGGTTTGGACTGTTTGTCATGATCTTAGTTTTCTTTGTATTTATTCTCAGTCCCACCATTTCTGCTGTGCAGTTTAGTCTGTTACTTTTCTCTTGTATATGTTCATGTTTATGTGATAGGAGTGCTATATCATCTGCAAAATCAAGGTCCTCAAGCATGGTGAATGGAGTTCATCGTATGCCTCTCAATGTTCTGTCTACTGTGTTCTTTAGTATCCAATCAATCACAAGGTTGAAGAGGAGAGATAACATAACACATCCATGTCTTACACCCGTCTTTACTGGGAAAGATGTATTGTAATTTTTTATACTGCAGGAGAAGTCTTTATAGAAGAGAGCAATTATGTTGACTATTTTTTCTGGAATTCCATAATGTCGTAAAATTTCCACTGACCGTCTCTATGGACGCTGTCAAAAGCTTTCTCAAAGTCCACAAAATTAATATATATACTTCTCTGCCATTCGTTGCATTTTCTAAAATGTTACGTATGGCAAAGATGTGCTCAGTTGTTCCTCTGCCCTTTCTGAATCCTGCTTGTTCCACTCGTAGGCATTTATCTACTCCTTTTTCAAGCCGCATTATGATGATTTTACAAAATATTTTGCTTGGTACTGAGAGTAGAGTAATTCCCCTCCGATTATTGCAGTCTGTTAAGTCTCCTTTTTTGGGGATTTTGACTATTGTTCCTTCAGTCCAGTCATCAGGCAACACTTCTTTTTCCCAAATATCCTTGAACAATGGTTCTAGAATGCTAGCAGTTGTGTTGGGATCTACTTTGAGAAGTTCTGCTGGCAGTTCGTCTTTGCCTGGTGCTTTGTTGTTCTTTAAAGTGTGGATAGCTTTAAGGATTTCTCGTTTGCTAGGTGGTTCAGTAATAATGTCAATGTCCCGAGAGGCTGGTTGAATATCTGGGGGATTTTCAGGATCAGGTCTGTTCAAGAGGTCAGAGAAGTGTTTAGTCCACTGCATGTCTTGTTTTTGTTCTGTGGTGAGCAGTCTGCCTTGGTTATCTCTGATGGGTATGCTGTGATAATTGTTTCTGTTTCCGCAAATTTGCTGGGTAATTTTGTGTAGGGTTTGTAGATCATGTGCTTTAGCAGCATTTCTGCTGTTTCTGCAAGATTTTCCTTAAATCTCTTGTCAGCTCTGGCACTTTTCTTGGTCATTTTATTTAGTTCGCTATATTCTAACATTAGTTTGTCCTTTTGTGTGAAATTGTATTATTTTAACCCTTTCTGGTCCAAACAGTTAATATTTTTAAGCAACAACTATTTAGTAAAGAGTAGAGTAAGCAGATATCTGGTACTGTAAGAGCTAAAAGCTAGAGACTCTGTCTTTAACTTCAGCAGCCAGTGAAGAGTTCCAATTCAGATGGTGGCAGCAGCAGTTTGATTAAATGTCCATCTTACTTTTCCTGTTGACTGTTGACCAAATCCCCTTATCACTCTTAGCTGTACCATTTTCTCCACACCATAATGATCTATTCACGCCTCCGCACTGTTCACTTCTCCCAAGGGCCTTGACCACATCTGGCATGTCATGCATAAACTCACAACCCACTGGTACAGAACCAGCCAGTCTGTCTGCCTGTTCATTTCCCAACAGAAATATCTAAAGAACACTAACAATCAGAGACCTCTGAAGCAATGCTTGACACTTTTTGCACAGCATACCTGTCTCCCCTTTTTGAATGTGCTTTGTTCAGAGTTAACTAGACTGGTGTATGGGAAGTGTTAATTCTAAGTGTATGAACTATGTGAAGGAATTTGTGTTGTAAGTGAGAATACATTAGAAAAGTTGAATCCAATTATAAGACTTCATTGAGTTCTGGGGATAGAGTCAGAAGTAGAGTTAGTTGGGAGTGAGCTAAGATTTTGTTAACAGTCCCGATCAGACGTTGCTTTCTGCGGATCTGTGGAAGGGCTGTGCGATCTTTTCTCTTTATGAGGACGTTGTAGCTTCTCTAAGTGAGAATTTTGCTTTGCCACAGTTAGCAGAAGCATACTGAGTGAAGTGTTTTAATTGTTAAGATCGCCTGTGGAAATAATAGCAACTTATTATCCTACATTAATTATCACCATCATCTTAATGTACTTAATGTGAATGATGTTAAAGTTTATGTGGCCTGCCACAAGTTGTTACTGTTGACTCTTCGAGATAGCCATAGTTGTTTTTGGCTCTGTTGAGTCAAGTGTGCCCAGGTGTTAAATTACACAGAACTGCAAGTATGAGCAGCACATCCATCAAGGAGAGATCCAGCGACATATCAGTGTAGGCACCCTAGACCTACCTACATGCTCGTTTTCTGAATCCAAGAAAGTATTAGTGCAAGAAAAATGAACATTACAAGAATTCATCCAAAAAAGTGTTTTTTGTGTGCCCATAGTCTACCCAGGGGGATAACAAGAGTACAACAGGAGGCAGTGTGTCTATCTACCCCCACCCCCACAACAAGGCCCCAGAACCCATCTGGGAATTCCTGCAAGTACTAATGACAACTATATGACTTTCTGCAAGCACTAATGGCCATCACAAGATTTCCTGCAAGCTGTTTCAAACGCTATTTCTAAAACTTAGTATGCAACTTACCTTGCTACGACAGGTATAATAGCAGGCAAAGACGAACTCCATGATCTCAGCCGACCAGGCCAGGACCACAAAGGCAAATAGTGCGGTCGCGAGAGAATTGAATTTCTCAAAATAGGCGCAGGTCTTGAAATGAGTGGGTGTGTACTCGTCCATGTATGACCTTTTGTCAGATCTGAAAATGTCAGATGATGATAGTTAAAAAAAGTTCATTGGTCCAGCGTACTTCTTTTTGATCTAGTGGCACTGCCATAGTATAAATGAACAAATTGGGGTGCTCAAGGGGTGTATTTAAGTGTGCAATAATAATATTATATCAAATAATATAATGAATGTATAAACAAATGTTTAAATAGAGAACATCTACAAACTATACACAGTTAAGTAAGGCGCTATAGCTCCCACTCCCCTCCCCTCCAACACCCTTTAAAAAAAGAAAAACTGGAGAAGGGGAAGGGTGGCTCAAGATGTCTGAGCCACTCTCCTCACCCCAGGTTTCAACACTGCTGTGTGAAGTCGCTGGACTGATGTTTGAAATAAGCTGCATTAAACACCCAACCATGTGAATTGTGGGTAATTTCTGCAACATCCATTTCAAGAATTACAAGACAGACAATACTGTTTCAAACTCTGTTATCACAGAGACGCTGAAACAAAGAAAACATAGGAGGACTCTGCCATTTTAAGATTTTCTGGGGGTCCCCCTTAAGTGTCCCAAGCCGCCAGATCTTACCACCACTGCTTCTATATATGGGCGGGGGTGGGGGGGTGGAGAATAGCTGTCCCATACACATTTTTGTAATAACAATAAAACATAGACCAGACAGACTCCATGTTTAAAGAAAAAAAGATTATTAAACCATGATAAAACAGATGCTGTGGCTAAGCATGATTTCAAATGATAATGTAATCTCCAAAATAAGTTGTTAAAAAGAAGTCATCATCATGTAGCAGGTCCTTTGCAGAACGCCGCTCTCATCACAGTCTGCCTGTAAGAAACTCGGTCTCTCGCCAGCTCTCCCACCTCATGTACTTTCATACTCAAGGAGTCACTTATATCCTGTGCCCATCTTCGTGTCGGTAGGCCCCGGCCCCTCCTTCCTGGTACCATGCCTTCTGCTATAATTTTTTCCAATCCACTGTGGCGCTTGATATGACCAAAATATTTCAGTTCCCTAGAAAGGATGCTGTTTATTAGCCAATCTTCCTTGATGTTCAGATCTTTTAAGTAGTCAATATTTCTCCTTTTCTTTGTCCAAGATATTGTGATAATCTTTTTATAGCATTTCAGCTCAAAAGCCCCTATTCTCTTTCTTAAGAACTGAGAGATAGCCCACGACTCACATCCGTATGTAGCCACAGGGAAGATGCATGCTCTCAAAATTCTTATTTTTATCTCCTTGCTGGTGCTTAACCATAGACTTTTTAGGCTGTTCAATAAAAAGAAGTCCAGTATCAACATAATAGGCCTCATTGAATTCGCTGACCACCTCCCTAAGCTGACCAGTTTGCTACAGTCCCTGGAGTAGTCTCTTCACCTTCTTTCTTCTTAACATTCACTTGCTGTAAACTTTGGCAGATATTTCTCGTTACCTATCCACTTCTGGAGTGTCATCTTGTTCTAAAACTTGAATTATGCATGCAAATCTGTTCTACAGATCTGCTTAATTGTATACAGACTACTGGTTCCTCACCTCTCAAGCAGATGCATTCTGACTTTGAAAGACAACTTCCGTAGTTAATCACTTTGTAGATCATGCTTGTTGGGGAGGCAGTGGATCTATTCCCCCACCCCCCACAATGGGGCCCTAGAACCCACATAGGGACCTTGGGTGGTCAACTTGTAGAGATCTACTGTAGCTGTTCTTTCACTGCTACTCGTATATACTGGACACACCTTTATGGTGTGAGTCTATAAGTTTGCTGCTTGTTATTCAGCCTATTCAACAGTGAACATCACAGTAAATGGAGACAAGTTCTTCCTATCTAGGATACGCAGTAACAGATGACGGAAGAAGCAAAACAGAAATCAGAAAGATAATAGGAATGCTTAAAACTGTCTTCAATAAAGATGCACAAGTTACTGACAGGTAGAAAAATAAATAACATACTAAAAATTTGAATCGTTAAATGTTATGTATACTCAAACCTGCTATATGGTGCTGAAACTTGGTTAATGAACAAGCAACTAGAAGATCAAATTCAGTCTCTGGAGATGTGGGTATACATAGGAAGAGGTCACATTTCACAAAAACAAAAACAGTCAAATTCAGAGGTTCTGGAAAGGCTACAGATTAAAAGAGAATTACTGAAATACATAAAAAAAGAGACAAATGAAATACTCTGGCCTCATTTAAAGACATAACAGACTTTAAAAAAACATAATGGAGGGAAAGGTTGAAGGCAAGAGAGCTAGAGATAGGCAATGATACAAGTGGGAGGACCACATCAAGAGATGGGACGGGCAGCAATCTGAGAGATTGTACAACCAGGACAAGAGACAGAGCGAGTAGTATATACATTGCAGCCAACTATCACTGTGGAGACGGTATCTGATTGGCTGATTCAACCGATGTCAGGTTCAATTCAGCTTCAGATGATTTGGCAACAGACGACATTGTGTTGATTTTGACAATGTCGTCAGGGGTGAATAAAACGGGGATGAATCTAAGAGAAGTGACGAAATCAGAGAAATGTCTGGGCAACTACTAGCATCAACAGTTATAAAACGGAGAAGATGGCGCTGTATTGGAAATAATTTGAGAAGGAATCAAGAGAGAATAACCAAACAGGCTCTGTGATGGGATACAGCAGGACTGAAGATACTAAGATGTCCAAGGGAAACCCTAAGATGAACGTAGATGAGAGAGGCTAAAGGTGCTGGATTGCACTCTATCACTGATTTCGAAGTGACTGCACAGGATGGAAGGGAATGGATAAATAGACTGCGACCCCTATATGACATATAATCGCACAGCAGGACAATGAACGAATGAGCATTTACCGTACAGAAAGCAATGACAAACTACTTAATGTAAAAGTGCCTAGTAAAATCACAAACAACCAACAAATGATGGGGGGTTGGTTTGTGTAAAAGATAGGCCTTTTCCATTTAACCTATGTTGTTTTTTTTTTTTTTATATTAATTTTTTTCAACTCTTAATGCTATTTCAATAGGTTACTATGATTCGAACAAAGAAGACACAAACAACAGATTGAACAATTTATTACATGGCATATTTCACTGTATCTTGCCAGGTGCATTACAGTAATAATTAAATAAATAAGTTGAACATTTATAACTGAAACACAAATTTAACCACACTCAAAAGCAACTGGCTGTTTTACTAGGGCAACAACAAGGTCAGAATTATGTCTTTCTGTTTACAAAGTTCAGGACAGAGATAACAAATCATGGCTGCTTCAAGAAATCTCGACGTGTGAAGAATTCAAAAGACAGCATGCTATTGTGAAGGGGTGGCCTCAGTAGTGTTTTTTTTAGACAATTGTTCTTGTTGTTAGTCACATTTTAATATTTTTCACGGCGAGTTGGCTAAGGACCTATGCTCCATTGGGGAATAGAAGGTAGAAGAAGAAAAGTCACAGATGCTAACTACTCCTCATAATGTCCAAACATCTTGACTATGTCTCTTAACTTACTTACTTACTTAGTCGATCCTCTTCTACCTTGGGGTGTAGAGGTTTACCAGAGAGATCGCCAGATGTTTCTATCAGCAGTTTTGCTTCTTTTAACACAGCCTTAAAAGGTTTTTTTCTTATTTTAAATTTAATACACAAATACCTGTATCTAAAAAAAAAATAAAAAAAAATAGAGCTCACTGAAAAAACAAAAAATCTGATTCATTTCTAGAATTGTGTATCCTTTAAAGGACGTTGCAGAACCAAACCCAACAGCCCACAGCTGTTGTGTGGTTTTTTAAGGCAAATGTGCATCAGTAGTTTGCCATTGCTTTCTGGACGGTTGGCTTTCTTGATACCACTGTCGAAACCAATGCAAGGCGCATGGCCCGCAGATGGGATCGAACCTAGCATCCCGGCATTACGAAGCGTTTGCATCGACTTAGCCACAGAGCCGACATTTCTGGAATCAGAAACACAAAATTATCCAAGAACAGCTGTAAAAATTAAGGCTCTAAAATGTATCTAGACTAATTAATCAGTGAACAGCTATCTCAAGGACTGTCTTGTTTTTTCTAATGCATCAAACATTAAAGATACCAACCTGCATCTACATCTGTCATCAGTATCTATGCAGCGTTCTGAGACAATTCCCTGATTGAAGACTAAGTGTAGAAGGGCCATGCTAGAGATGATGGCCACAAGGCCCATTATGAGAAGTGAAATGATGGCAAAAATGCACGTCGCGATGTACTGAAAAGAAAAGTAAATTGCAGGAGTACCATATTAGTTCAGTAAAACTCCAATATTCGCCAATGCCAATATTTTCTTCTTTTTTGAAAGTATTCTCTGAGTCCATTTTAATTACCATATGTTAAGCTGTACTACTCTCAAGACACCGGAAAGCTGTTGTTACTGCCTCCACCTCCATTCTCATACTGAATTGTGTTACTTCTACGTGAAGCTCTATGCTTTCAGTGTCCATTCACCTTTGCAATAAAACCCCATCCACTCATTTTACCTCACAGTAGAAATCAATCTGTAGATACAATGATGTCTCCTGGGAGTAAATTTTCATTGATCAGCTCCTGCACTAATGCCTCTGTTTGACGTCACCAGCTATCTATTCTCTGCACCCTCGGTTCAAAGTAACTATCACTCTGTTCAAGTCTGTTTAACTGGGTGGCACTGTACCCATTCATCACCATGCCCTATCTTGTTAGTAGCACAAACAATTCTGTTCGTGGCTTCTGCCTGTGCCCTGCAAGGAGCTACCACCTTTCAGCCGATCACCCTTGCTATCCCCCAAGACTTCATGTTGAAAGTGTTCCCTGTCCGTTGAGACATTGAGGTACATTTTCGTCTGTAATATCATTCATAAAAAGACGGCACTGCCAGTATGTGCAGCATGCACATGATTGACGTTTTCCGTGTACATCTCAAAATGACTCGCATGACTTTATTTGCATGCGTTCAAGCTTCTCTATTTGACTGTTAGATGTGAACAGGCCCAGACCATACTCCATCATATGGAGGGAAATATACGAGATGTGCTGAATGTAAAGTTTAACATGGATCTAGCCAGAAAGGACACCTGGGGGAGGGGAAGAGAAGAACGTGTGGAATGTGGAGCTGAAGATGGATCTGGTAGGAAAGGACATATAGAAGGAAATGCCTGATGCTGGACAGTATCTACAGCCTAAATCAATGAGCATGGGTATTCCTGGCATACTATATCTTTTTATTAGTCTATAATCAGCAGTGCTCATTACTGACAGTACACAGTACCGACACCTTGTTTTCTTTCTTTAGGCATTATTTTTTCAGCACAACTGTAACATTGTGTTGTGTACAGGCACCTTATATTAAATATTATGTGGTCATTTCCAGCACTTGTTTAAAAAGAACCCCCCAAAAAGCCCTGGTTACCAGCGGTCAGTGTTACCTAAAAGATTTTCTGAACCCGTTTTAGGTTTGAGTCGACCTGAAAGGCCAGGACAAAGAGATAAACAATCCGCCTCAATGGAGTACAACCAGTCATACAACTAGTGTTCCATAAGAATAATTACAACCAGTCATACAACTAGTGTTCCACAAGAATAATCAGCATTTGCTGAGGGAGTGACCAAAGCAATCAAGTGGCTGGAGACACAGACCTTTTCCTGAGCATGTTTTCTCTGTGACTCAATGAGTATGCTCAGAAAGACAGAGAAGGGCTGGATCTGAAGACGGTGTTCGGAGTCTCTAAAGCCATCGGGGCAGACACACATCAGTTTCACATTTGTGCCAGGGCGCGCAGGCGTGCAAGGAAATGAACAAGCTGATTGGTTCCAGGTAAAGCTGCTGTGGAGACCGGACAAGCCATGTTTCTGGCTCTTCTGGCCGCCTCGACCATAGGCACATCGTGCTGTTGTAGAGCTTCTCTGATGTTATCCTTCCATCGTGTTCTTGGTCTATCTCTTGCTCTATGACCTTCTCTTTCCATGTATGCTTTGTATGGTATGGTGTCACAAGGCATTCTCTCTAAGTGGGCAAACCATTTCATTTGCTGTCTTTGTATGTAATTTAGAATTGGTAATGTGCCAACTTTTTCTCTTATGATCTCATTCCTGATCTTATCTCTTATGGTCACTCCTACAGCACTTCTCAGACATCTCATTTCCATGGTTACTAATTTTCTTTTATGGTTTGTTGTGAGTGACCATGTCTGGCACTGGTAGCACAGAGTTGGAATAAATATGCTTTGTATAAGATGTCTCTTTGTGCTGATTGGGATTGTCTTATGCTGTAAGAAGGGGGCTAGCTGTCCCAATACTTGGTTTGCTTTACTGCATCTAATGTTAATTTCTTTATCTAATTTCCCATCTTCGGTAAATGTAGTTCCCAGATATTTAAACTCAGATGCCTGTTTAATGCCTTTGTTCTCAATTGCAATGTTTAGATTCTGAATGCTCTAGGATAAGTAAGAAGTTTGTGAGAACCAAGTGATGACTGTGAATCTGCAAGAACAAAATGTTGAAAGGGGTGTGGCCAGACAAGAGCATTATGCAGGAAGCCAAAGAACTGGTGATGTGAGCCACCACAAGATGCAGGATTTTCTAAGGAGGGGATCCGAGCACTGATGAACTGAATGGCTCAATGTGCAACGAGAATAATCTTTCGACTAACTAACTAACTAACATCTGCTGAGGGAGACAGATAAAAAAAATGATAACATTTGCTTTATCATCACTCAAGATCCCCGTGTGGGTTCCGGGGCCCTATCGTGGGAAACAAAAGAATAGACCCTCTGCCTACCCAAAAGCATGTTGTAAGAGTCGACTAATTGGGGAGCTTCCTTTGAAGTCGGAGTGCATCTGCCTGACAGGCAAGGAACCAACAGTCTGCATTCAAGTAAATCAGATCTGTAAAACTGATGCACACGCAACACTCAGGTTCTGGAGCAAGACTGCAGTTCAGAAGTGGACGAACAACCAGAACTTTCCACCAGAGTGTACAGCTGGTAAACACGAAGAAGAAGATCACTCAAGACACTGGCAACTATGAACCTCATTTAACAACAGTGGAAAGATAGAAAATTCAGTGCTGCAGATACATAACAATATCTACTGTCCTCTCCAAAATGATACGACAAGGTTCTGTTAAAAGGAAGAAGAGGAGGCAGACAAAGGAATATCTAGATACACAATTTGGCTGAATTGACAGTCCTCAAAATGCAAACATCAAGTCCACTGCAGCTGGCTGACAGAGGCGGCTGACAGAGGTTGCTGACAAAGGTGGAAGGAATTGATCAGACAATTTAAACAGTCAAACAGCAATTGGAAACCTAAAGACTATTATGATTTTGATGATGTGGGAGGCAGAACATCAATGGGTATGCCTGGTATGCTTTGATAAGTAAAGTAAGTAAGCAAAGGACCCTTTCTTACGCCTTTAAGCGTATAGGGCATATAGGGCTAGACCTATATTTTATAGACCAATAGGCACATCACGGGTGATGTGGTCAGCATCACGCCGGCTGCATCTACTTCCCAGGACTGCACCCAGTACCCACTCAAGGCTGGGTCGACCTGGGAGCCAAGGTCATTTTTGAAAACGGGAGCGAACCCACGATCTTCTGATCCGTGGCGAGCGTCTAGCCGCTCCATCACGGCAACTCCCGGTATGCTTTGATGCTCATTCTTAAAAAAGTCATCAAATATTTCCTCGGCTGTTTAAACAAATGTGTAAATGGACACATGTCACCTGTGAGTATCAAACAAATCAACATTTGGTAACACAGCTAATATTAAGTTTAGAAAATAGTCACACAAAACAAAAAAAAGACAATTCATGCATCAAGAATATATTACCATGCATTTATTTTGGACATATGCTGCAGCAAGTCCTATGACTCCTGGAATGATGTACTGGAAAAAAAAAGTATTTTTTTAAAGGCATTCTCTTCTTCATTCATAAAGAAACTTACATCTGTGTTCAAATTAATGCTGTGACACCTGTCTTTCAGCCTGTGAACCACTGTATCTCTCTATATTATGAGAACAAGCTCCCATATCTTCAGGTCATTCAGTCCAGTCCCAGTTTTGTCAGAATGACTTTGACAAGATCCCATATCTTCAGGTCATTCAGTCCAGCACCAGTTTTGTCAGAATGACTTTGACAAGATCCCATATCTTCAGGTCATTCAGTCCAGCACCAGTTTTGTCAGAATGACTTTGACAAGATCCCATATCTTCAGGTCATTCAGTCCAGCACCAGTTTTGTTAGAATGATTTTGACAAGATCCCATATCTTCAGGTCATTCAGTCCAGCACCAGTTTTGTCAGAATGACTTTGACAAGATCTTATATCTTCGGGTCATTCAGAGCTGCACCAGGTTTTAGATGAAGGACTTTGACAAGCTCCCAAATCTTCAGGCTGTTCACAGCTATAAAAGTTTATTTTTTAAAAGACTTTGACAAGCTTCTACATCTAAAGGTCATTCAGAGATTAACCAGTTTTGTTAAAAGGATGCTGGAGGAGAATATACCTACAGCCCCTTAAGTATGTCAATTAAATAGGTAGCTAATTTGGACTTTGCTGAAATCAGATGTGTTGAATAGAAAAGCACATATATTACAGCCTCTCTGTAAACCACAATAAATTTCTGTTAATGCTGTATCAGTATAACAGTGATCTCTGTGGTGCCCTGTTTGATGCCAGTCTTATTACATGGCCAAACCATTTGATTTGTTGTTTGCCTTTAAATTCAGTACTGGTTCTGTGCCTGCTCTCCTCCTAATATCATCATTCCTAAATCTGTCTTTCCTTGTTACACCTAGTACCTAGGTAAACATTTTATTTCTGTCGCGACTATTTTCCTTCTGTCTTCTCAAGACGTCGGCTCTGTGGCTAAGTCGATGCGAACGCTTCTTAATGCTGGGTTCGATCCCAGCTGCGAGCCATGGGCCTTGCGTTGGTTTCAACAGTGGTATCAAGAAAGCCGACCCTCCAAAAGCAATGGCAAACTACTGGATGTAAATTTGCCTAGAAAAATCACACAACAGCCAGGGGTTGTTGGGGTTGGTTCTACAATGTCCTGTAAAGGATACGCAACTAATTTTCTGAAGACAGTGTGCATGTTCGACATCGATACCAACTTTGTTGGTAAGAATATTTATTTGAACAGGATTCTTTTAGTGCTCATATTCACTTGCTTGCAATTCAAAATTGGTTGCCATTTGGCCTAAAACAAGACTGGTTTTATTGCTTTTTCTGATGGATTTCTTTGTTAATTCTTCTGTCTTCTGAAAACATGCTCCCCAGATATGTTAAATTCTTTGCTTGCTTTAACCGGTGTTCATCAATTTTGATATTGGTGGTTCTTCCTTTTTTGGAGAACGTCATCACTTCTGTTTTGTCTATGTTGATCCTCATCTCATAGTTACTGCATTCTGAGTGGAGTCTTTTAATATCTTCTTGTCATTGTACTGTTGTTGGTGCTATGAGTGCCTGGTCATCGGCAAAAAAAAACTCAATTAATAATTCTCCGCGATAGGTAATTCCTTATCGAATTCTACCATCCTTTCCACTAACTGTCTAAGTGTGAATGTTGCATCAATACATCTTTTGTTCTTCTGAAATCGATTTGTCTTGCGCTAAGTTGTGGTTTGATGATAGGGCGTAACGACTTTATCAAGAACCTTACAGAACATTTTCCCGATGTGGCTCAATAATGAAATTCCCCTATACTTCTCACAGTCTCTCTTGCTTTCTACTTCCAGATGGGTACTGTTACTGCATTTCTCCAGGCCTCCTGTGTTTCTTGCCTTTTCCAGACTAGGTTGAATAGTCTGTGCATTAATTTTATGCCTAACTCTTTTTTTTTTTGCTTTGAGTAGTTCAGCAGGTATATAGTCAGGGCCTGATTTTTTCTTTTTAATTTCTGCCATTTTAATGCTTTGTTCTAAATTTTCATTTATGTAGCTGTTGTTTTCTTGAATTGTGGACTGTTCCTCTAATTGTAAGTTAAGTAGATGAAATGGTGACACCATCTGTCTAGGACCTTTTGTAGTTTATTTAAGGGGACTCCCGTCTTGACATTTATAATTTATGTTTTCACTAACAATGACTGTCTGAAAATGGCTAATGAAATAAGAAAACTATACGCAACTATAAGAAAGAGACAGTCAGAGTTCTTCGGTTATGTGGTGAAAAGAGAGGTATTGGAGAACACTGTGATGAAACAACAATGGTAGGAGAGGCAGACCAAGGGTAATGACACTTGATGGCCTGAAGCGATGGCAGAATTGATTCAAAATGCTCCCGGTGTGGGTTTTAAAGTCTCACTGTGGGGAAAAACAAGAACAGACCCCCTGCGTCCCCATCAAGCATGCCCTAAGAGTCAACTAAATTGGGGCTTTCTTCCAAGTCAGAGTGCATCTGCTGGAGAGGCTAGGAATCAACAGTCTGCATACAAATGAGCCATATCTGTAAATAAATACATGTGCATGCAAGTATACTCATGCAACACTAAGGTTCTGAAACAAGACTAAAGTCCACTAGTGAACAAACAACCATAACGTTCCGCTGAAGTTTACAGCCGATGAATACAAAGAAGAAGAAGAAGTAGAAGCATATTCAAAATACCAAAGATTTACATCTGTGGAGTCACAGGAGCACCTATGTAACGGGATATAGCACTGTGTTCTTTGGTCATGTAATGACAGGCACTGTAGAAAACTGTGATCATTAAAAAGGATAATGGTAGAAGAAGCAAAGGCAGACAAAGAAGAAGAAGAAAAGGAAGAAGAAGAAGAAGAAGAAGAAGAGGAGGAGAAGAGGGAGGGGAGAAAGAAGAAGAAAAACTTGTCTGATATGGAGAGACGTGGCGCCTATGCAGCTGGGCAGAGGACACGATGATGATGACAATGATGTGTTTGACTAACCACTAGGCCAATAATCCATACTTTTCCTGACACGGCAGGCACAGAGGTTTCTGTGTCAACCCCAGTTGTGTTGCGTGCCCGTCCTTCATCAAATGTGGCTGCTGTCTGAGACAGTAGTATTGCTACAATGAAACCTAGGGACATATGGTATATTATACATATATGGAATTTGATATACACTATATTATGCATACTGTGGGGCTTAGGGGTTAGTGAAATCGTTTTACAATGCAATTCTCGACATTTACCCGTCTGATTCGTCCTGTGAGCAGTTTAGGTTTAAAAAAGACTATTGTTGTGGCTTTCAAACAGTGGTTTAAGATTCAGACCATAGAAGAGATTGGAGCCTCACAAGGTAATGTTCCCCAAGTCAGCAGTGAATAAACACTGCATTGAATCTTCATTGTGAGTGAGTGAGATTCAACTCCTCAAGGACATCCACTTAACAATAAACACCTGATGACACAAAGTGCCACAATGCAGATAAGGATCACCAGGGAAGAGGTCCCAGAAACTGTTCAACCATTAGGTTATATTAGGGCCCCGGCTACAACTGGGGTGGGACTTTAAAATAAAAAAAAGGAGTCCCATATTGAGACGAAAGATTTAATAAGAACTCCACTGTGCAAGTAAGAAACTAGTAAATTTTACCCCAGCAGGACATCACACAGAGCGATAAACATTCGGTGACACAAAGTGCCAACATGCAGATGAAGATCCCCTGTGGAGAGGTCACAGAACAGGCAGGCTATATTGCGACCCCCTTCAAAAGCAAGGGTTGGGCTTTATTTTAATTTTCTGTCCACTGTGCATTCAATTTCGATTCCTTTAGAAAAAATAAAAAATTAAAAGTTCGACCACTTTCAGACTGCTGCTAGCTAGCCGAAGCTGCTAACAGTCTCCGTCTATATTTGTGGTCTGGGTTATTTGCCTCACTTTCGTGACTATAGTTTTAGTATTTGCACCGTCTCTTGGCTTGATGCTTCCTTTCTTCGAGTCAGACTGCTCGTTCTCTGCCCAGTTGTTAGGTGTGTTATTCTTGCCTTTTCCTTCCAGGTGTTTCCTCCTTGGTTTTATCTCTCTATGATTTGGCCTAGAAAAATTAAACATTGATGGGAAAGATCTACGAATAATAAAGAATATGTATTGGCAGCAAACAGCAGCTATAAGAATTAACAACTGTTTAGGTACATTTCAAAGCATAAAGAGAGGCGTACGACAAGGATGTGTACTGTCAGCTGATTTGTTTTCAATATACAGTGAATATATAATGAGAGCTTTAATTGATATGCCCAGAATTGTGGTTGGTGGGCACAATATAAACAATTTACGTTATGCTGATGACACAGTCTTGATAGCAACAAGTCAGAAAGAACTACAAGAAATGATAGACATTGTGGTGTTAGAAAGTGGAAGAATGGGCCTCAGTTTGAATACTGGGAAGACAGAAGTAATGGTGGTATCAAAGAAACGAATTATTCCTAAATGTGTAATAAAAGTTGATGGTGTTATTTTAGGACAAGTACAGAAATTTAAGTATCTGGGCACATGGATAACATCAGATGGAAGATACATAACTGAGATAAGAAAAAGAATAGGACAGGCAAAAACTGAATTTTATAAAATGAAAAACATTGTGTGCAATAGATCCTTGTCATTGAGAGTTAGAAAAATAATTCTTGCTTGCTACATACATCCAGTTTTAACATATGGCTGTGAATCCTGGACAATCGGTAGGCAGGCCAAACAATTTCTGGAGGCCTCGGAGATGTGGTTTTACAGAAGAATGCTTAGAATAACTTGGACAGCCAAAAAGAGCAACCAAGAGGTTTTGAAAGAGGCGGGAGCCCGAAGACAACTTATCACAGACATCAGAAGGAGACAGTCATCATTTTTCGGCCATGTTATGAGAAGAGGGAAAATAGAACATGTTGTGACCAATGGAAAGATATGTGGAAGGAGAGATAGAGGAAGACAGCGAGAGAAGATGCTTGACAGTCTTGTTGCATGGCATGGAGGTGTGTCGGCACACAAACTGATACATGCTGCAGGAGATCGCAGATTATGGAGAGGCATGATCGCCCACGCCAGTCGGCAAGGCACCTGATGATGATGATCATTTGGCCAGGTGTATTTCGTAGGATAGCAAGCTTCTATACACAACATCCTTTGGACCACCATTTATAGTTTTAAAATTGTGAGAATTTAACACAGCCAAAGAGTTCTGAAAACAGTTTTTGGTTTTGGACAGATCCGAAATGTGATAGTATTTTGCATGTGACCATGGTGGTCATATAGTTGTCTTCCTGCAATAAGAACGTGTTAGTCATGTCGTGGATATGTGTGTGAAATGTTAGGTGGAGCCTCACAGTTATTCTATTCATCATTTACTATAGTGTCCACTGTGCAAACAGCACTATGCTAATTAATCTATACTATACAACAAAAGAATGCCTGCCTGGAATTTGTAAATTTTTGAGTCAAGTGAGTCCTTCTAAATGGTGACTACTACATGTGTTAAATTTTCAGCTGCCATTATGGCTACAATGTTTCACTTAACAGTGACACTGACGCCCAGGTTTGTGCAAATTTGTTTTAATTAATGTAAAAATCACCAAAAATTAAAACTTTGCCGCAGTCATATCCCTTTGAATATTGCTTCTCTCTTATATCCCTAAAATAAATTAATTTTAAAAATGTTGTTTCATTACCATTCACTCACACATTACTGTAAAAGTTAATTGTATGTCATCTACAGTCCTAGGAGGCTGTGGAACCAATCCCACCATTGTTTGACTGTGACTTCACTAGGCAATTTTATATTCAGAGGTTTACCATTGCTTTTTAAAGTTCTAAACAGTTGGTTCTCGGCTGTAATTACTGTCAAACCCTCACTACAGGTGGGATCGAACCTGGCAGCATATGCTAGGATTGGTTTGCAAGATAGTGTAAAGTAAGTTTATTCAGTCGCCAAAATGTTGGAAAATGGGTTTTGTCACAGGCAAGAGTCCCAAGCTCGAGCAAAGTAATTACAATATAATCGGCAGGTGATCTGTTGGCCACTTGGTAGGCAATATTTGTTAGGCCCGCGGGCCACCGGCTAAATAAACCAGATGTAAAAAGTAAAGTAAAGATCCCTTTTCACGCCTTAGGCGCATCGTGCATATGAGAAGAGCGCATCAGGCATATTGGAAGAGCGTCCCATATTTTTACAGACAAATCGGCACTGGGTGGGTAATGTGGACAGCCATCCTTGTACCCATTTTAAGCTAGGTCGACCTGCGACACCCCATACCATGATAAAAATCCACGCAGCCAGCAGTGGGTTTCGATCGCGCTACGTTGGAATTAGGAGTCTGACTCGCAATGCCTTAGCCGTGGACACCGTAAACCAGATGTAAAGGATTTCAAATAACTAACTATATGTTACAGTATTACATTACAGAGACAGCCATAAATAAAATAAGGGAAAATATATAAATCCAAAGGAAAAATAGCAACAAGGCCGCTTCAGAATAGCACAACCACGAATGACAGAATAAATTCCTTCACCAAATGAGAAAATTACAAACAACAATACACAAAAATGAGGAGGCTGCATGAGAGGAGAGGCAGAGGTTTTGATGGCTTGGTGTGTTGGTCAAGGGTCTATAGTCCACGGGGAGACAAGGAGTAGATTATGAAGGAATTACATGATATAAATTATTCTTTCTGTGTAGTTTTACAGGGCCAAATTTAGGGGAAGGGGACTGGGGGGGGGGGGGGGGGGAATTAACCCATTCTACCCTAACAAGCATGGTGTAAAAGGTGCCTGGAGGAATTTCCATTGAAGTTGGAGTGCACCTGCCTGAGAAGCAAGGAACCAACAGTCTGCATACAAATAGTTGTAAAACAGATGTGTTAAAAAAAATTTAGTTCTAGAACACAACGTCCAGAAGGGGACAAACCACCAGAGCTTTCCACTAAGTTTACCCACAAAAGAACCACAGTACCTATATGGGGAATTCTGAAAAGACAACACTTGATGCACACAGTCACTGCAGCCAACCTCCACTGTGTAGATGGCATCCAGAAATAAAAAGCGAGTCCTAGAATTTAATAGCAACTTTTAGAACTATCTTCTTCTTCTTGTGCCATTCTATCCCCCAATGGAGCATAGGCGGTAAACCAACTCACGCCAAGTCGTTCTATCCTTCGCCATTACATCGAGCTCTCCCCATCATTCTAGCTTCATTCTCCAGCTCTCTTCTCCATGTGTTTTTGACCTTCCTCTACTCTTATGCCCCTGTGGGTTCTATTGCAAAGACATTCTAGTTATGCTGATTTCCTGTTTTCTCAGTGTGTGTCCTATCCAACACCAGCATCTTTTCCTCACCTCCTGGTCCACTGGAGCCTGTTTAGTTCTCTCCTAAAGCCATCAGATAACAGATAACTTTAAAATTCTCCGCAATCCCATATCAGTTTGGACGGGCTGTTTTACAGATAATGAAACCTGGGGCTCAGGTAGTAGAGCATGGGAGGTTAAAGATAGGTTTTTAATTAGACCCCTTTTTAACATATATGCTAACAATCTTCTTCTTCTTCTTTTTTTTTTCTCTACTCCTGGAATACCTCACGGTGTCAAGGCTGATAATATTATATGAAATGAAGCCTGTGACAGCTTCGAACCACTTATGTAATTTTTAAGGGTACTAAGACACCCTCAATAACCACATACAGGCATTTTCCTTACAAGTATTTTTTTAAAATACATTTAATATTATTTCAAGTATATTATAATATTCATTTTCCATTCACACATTAATAATAATAATAATCATAATGTTCTCAATGGAAAATAAATAATATAAAAAAGTAAAGGACCCTTGTTCACGCCTTTCAGGCATATTGGGTACCGAGGACTAGACCTATATTTTATAGACCAACAAAAGATGATTTGTGGGTGAAGTGGTCAGCATCACGCCGGCAGCATTTACTTCCCAGGACTGTACCTGGCTGGGTTGACCTTGGAGTCAAGGTTATTTTTGAAAAAAGTCAGGCTCCGTCAGATCACGAACCCAAGACTTTCCAATCCGCAGACAGGCAAAATATAGTAATATACTTGAAGTAATTTGTAAATGTATGAGCAGATATTTAAAAAGATAATTTTCTTTACATGTTTAAAAGGGAAAAGGGGGGGGGGGGGAGGATTTTGGTTGCCTTACAAAAATTATTGGGTGGAAGTGAGGGGGTGTTCCCAGTCCCCCTCTATTTTTTTAAAGTGGGGCACTCAAGGACCTGAGCCATCCCCCCCCCCCCCCCCCCCCCCCCTCCAGTTATCTGCCTAGAAAATGCGTAATGTGGTGAGAACGGTGTAGTTAGAGAGGGGCCTGAGACCCCAATGTTTTAATCAGTTAATCTCAGAAAGCTTTGAAATTTATACGTTGGTGCACATCAGGTAAATTAATTTTAGGCTACCCTCCAAACTTTGGGCACAAAAGATGGCAGCCGCAAAATATCCTTTTGAGCCTCAGTCGCGTGAATTAATTTGCGGTTTTCCGGCGACTACTGCCACGAGTCCCCCCGCAGCGTAGATTGGGGCTAAACTGGATGGCTAGGACTCACGAGCAAAGCTGCAGGAGATGCGGAAGCTGTTGCTTGTGGGTCCTAGCCATGTAGTTCAGCCCAAATCCACGCCACGTGAGCGTCGTGGGGGACTAGTGCCAGTGGCGGTAGTCGCCAGAAAACTGCGGGAAGACTGCAAATTAAGTCGCCGGAAAACTACAAATTAAGTCACGTGACAGAGGCTCAAAAGGATATTTTGCGGCCGCCAACTTTTGTGAGCGAAGTTCGGAAGATTGACTATTTTTATTCAATTCAAACAGGCTGCCACATGTTAGAATAAATAAAAAACTGAGATAATACACTAAAATACTGTTAATAAAATTAGAACATTTCTGGAGAATTAAAAAAAATTAGAACAAAATCGCATTTGTGGATACTTGTATTTTAGGATCCAACATACTGTGAGGCTCTAAGTTGTAGCTGAGTTAGCATATGACTAAATCTAGCACTGATCCCCTCTCTCTCAAACACTGCCTCTTAGTAGAACTGGGCCACCTGCTGTTCTACTCTCGTTAAAAACTGGTAAATACAGGTGCTAAAAGCTCGTAAATAGGCCCTACAGTTCAGGATCCAAACCATTACCGAACTACGTAGTAGTAGTAGTAGTAATTTTCACAAAAATATCCTGTTGAACTCCCAGGGTTAAAACTGAGATCTAGAGTGTTCATCGAGTTCTCAGAGTATATATTTGTTATGTTTTACTGTGTAATTATTTATTTAAGAGAATTACGTAATTTAAAATTTGTATTATTGTTTCAAATAATACTTTGTTTACATATTGGGGGGGGGGGGGGGGGGGGTTGCGATAAAGGTCGAAACTGTGATAATCTTAGTCTTACTGTATCAAATTCAAACAATGAACCACCTAGCTACTCACCTCCAACAACCACTATAGCTGCTGTAGTGCCTAAATTTAAGGCGCGTTGTTTACTCATTTTGCAACCGTAAACAATAATAACTACACAGATAGAGGTCTCGCCTTACAGTAAGAACGTAATTGCTATCATATAGCAAGCTAATGGCGATGTGGGTTTGACCAGAAGCTGGGTGTTTTGTGTTTGGATTCTGCTAGCTAAACATGCACGCATGCGCGTGGGTGGGCCGTGACTGTGGGCCCGTCCGACGCAGGGTTGCCAGATAAGAAACTTCATTTTATGCCAGACCATTACCCAAAATATGCCAGAAAATGCCAAATAAAGTGTAACATTGTACTCACTTCACATCAAAAGCTCTAGATTAAACTCTTCACTGTCATTTTCACTGGAACCAGTAGAAGATACACGGTAAACCTTTTCGGATGTAAAATCTCTAAGCATTTTCTCAGATGGAATGAAGTATGTGCAACTCACCTATAATGATGGCATATTTCTTGTTCAGAAAATCATCAATAAGGTCATCCTTAAGTGCAGGCGATATAATATTTGTTATTAGGCATGAACATTTAGTTCTATGCAACTGTAAGTGCTCCAATGTGCTCCCCCGACCATGCGCTCTCATGATTTCACTTAGATGATCATTTGTGCGTATTGCGCAATGGCAGGTCATGCTTACAGCAAGTTGTAACTCTGCTGCTTTTAACTTTATCATTACTTTGCCTAGGAGTTATTGTTGTAATAAGCTGTGACTGGCTTTTTGACGGAGTTTTCATCCTGTATTTTTTCGGATTTTTCATGATTTGATATGCTACTAATTCTTGGTGCAACAGTGCACAAAGTTTACAATATGCTGCCTGAAGATCTTTTAAGCCATTAGTGTGTTTTCTTCTAGTTACTATTATTCTTGCGATGTCATAAGATGCTTTCCATTGGGGTTTTGGTTTTATATCTCGCATTTATTATAGTAGATTAACATAAATTACAGAGGGCCTTGGTTTATCGAAGTCGCGATCCGTTAAGGAAGACAACTAATGTAATAATAAATAGCGCTAATCTCTATTAGTCCATACCAGGACATCACAACAAAGTCAAACTGAAATAAAGATGTTAACTGTAGGTCTACATTGCTTTTAGTAAATCTGCGTGTTTCTAACGGAGGGACCATGAAGAAAATGTGAGCACATCTAGAAAGGAAAAGCCAGGGAAAACCCAAATATGCCAAAATATGCCAGTTCATTATCTTTTGCCAGTTCAATTTCAAATATGCAACATTTGTGGCATCTGCCAATATGGCAACTCTGGCCCGTCGGCTCGCCAACACAGACGATGAATATCCATGATTAATTACTGCATTTCTAATGTCAGACTGTTTGTGTTAACACTTCGGATGGCTACCGTATGCTTTTATTGCGTGTGTATGCTAGTGCATGTGCTGAGACAGCAGTCTGTCAATCTTTCCACAAGGGACTGTAATAAACATTCTGTGTTTTTCGTTGGCACTGGAGCAGAGCAACTATGAGGTGACCCGTTTTGCTATGAAGCTGAAACTAAAATTACCAGATGAGGGGGAATTAGAGAACAATTTTCCTGCATTACTCACAATTGATATACACGTCCAGCTTGTTTTCCCACTCATTCTTTGGACACCACTTCTTTGTCAACCATCACAGCAGCGTTGTCACAGCACTACAGTCGACAGTCTTCTAGCTCAGTTTCATCGTTCTTTAGCTGGTTCAAGGTATCTTGAATCAAGCTTTTAGCATCCTTCCGGCTTATCCGGATAAAACCAAAGAATGAAATCTTGGTAATCTTAGTTTCAGCTTCATAGCAAACGGATCACCCCATAGTTGCTCCGCTCCTATGCCAACGAAAAACACACAGAATGTTCGTCATTGTCCCTTGTGGAAAGATTGACCGACCGATGTTTCAGCATATGCAGTAGCATTCACGCGCATTAAAAGCATACAGTAACCATCAAAAGTGCTAACACAAACATTCTGACATTAAAAATGCAGTTCGTCATCCACAGTAGCAGAAGTTACCAATAGATCAGCAGTTTCACATGCGATCAATTTTAATCACATAAGGGCACCACCAATATTGCGGCGACATTTCTGAATCTACAATTCACAACAGTCGAAAAACATTTAAAACGAAATCCGCAGCTCACAGGGTCGTGTCATGCACTCAACTCAGTAGCTAGGCGACGAAAATATATCCTTTCAATCTACAAATAGAGCAAACATGCAACTGCCACTGTCTGGCAGAAGCAAAATATTTGCCACGACTCAAAACAGTGACAATTCTTGGCGTTCATTTTGACCAAGGAAGGACTTTAACACAGACCTATTTTCTTTCAGAATCAGCTTCTACGTACCTCACTACCTATGACATCTGCTCACGGTGTGCTTGACCAGGAGTTGGATCAAACATGATACCATAGCACTTGGCTCTACGAATACTTCCCAGTAAATTCTGGCTAATAGTGGATGCCATCAGGTGGTTGGATTCATTCTACACGAAAGGGAAGAGTTACGACGTCAATCTAGCAGTCTTTCACATTTGTGGTGTTCTTTCATAAGAAAATCAAAAACAGTAGTTTCAATAAAATACCATGGTCGCCTTGCTGAAGTAAATCTCTGTGTCCACGCAAAGGAAGATTTTGAGTTGCAATGAATTTTATGCAGTCTGGAGGATTCTTGTCAAGATATCACGCCACTTGTTTTTTGGGATCAAAAGAGTTAAAATATGTACTGGGAAATGTTACAGAAATTATGACTTTGTCTGGCCAGACTACGAAAGGCAGTTCTTTTAATTGTAAGCGGTGCTAATCATGGATGAGTGTTTATATTTGTGTAAGCTGGCACCCTTCTTACTTTGAACAAAATCAAACTTGTTATGGACCATTTACAGTGTGTAGAATTAATATGTCAAGGATGAGAATCAAACATGTACCAGCCATATAGCACAGTTAAATTATGGCACCACAGAAGGGTTACCTGTATCAGTGCGAGTACACTAAAGAGAAGTAGTTTTATCCACCAGGCCAAACGGCTCGGCAGACAAACCACTGATTTACCTGAAACTGATAGATCCTTAAATGCTGTCCCAGAACGGACCCCCTGGAGAGAGGAGTATAAGTTTCCAATACACATCAAGACTGAAGTGAAAGGGGTATTTGACAAGGAAGAACAAAACAGTGTGCAGCGCAAAACAGCCACCCTCAGTCTACTTGATGATGAATACCCGCAGAACCTTTGGGTCCGTGTTTACACAGATGGGTCAGCAGAAAGCGCAGTCAGAAACGGAGGTGCGGGAGTGTACATTGAGTATCCTAATAATACCAGGGATACAGCCAAATTACCAACGGGAAAGCACTGTCACAACTATGATGCAGAAGTTGAAGCCATCAAGATAGCGGCAGAGAAACTACTAAATACAGGGTATTTTTCACAACCAGTGGTATTCCTGACAGATGCAAAAGCAGTACTTCAGTCACTCCAGTCTGGAAAATTACCAAGCATACGGACACTATTATCTGAACTAGGCAACCGCTGTAAATTAGTAATGCAGTGGATACCTTCCCACTGTAGAGTTCCCGGAAACGAATAAGCTGATAAACTAGCCAAGGAAGGTGCAACTGAAGAACAACCTGACATACCAGTCTCTTATCAACAGAAGAAGAGAATGATCAAATCAATCAGAATGACACCGAAACTGGCACAAGATGATTACCATATTATGGACAGACCAGAGCAAGTCATTATCCTTCGCCTTAGAACAGGGCACAATCGACTTCGCTCCCACATGTACAACAAATTTAAGATTGGCCAATCAGCCATGTGTACTTGTGGACTGGCACCTGAAACAACAGATCACATCCTTCAAGACTGTCCCAGATTCAACGCTTTGAGGCAAAACCTTTGGCCAAAAGAGACACTTGTGGAAGCCAAACTTTACGGGCCGCTTAGTGAATTACAAAAGACAGTGAAATTCATACTAGAGACAGCTTTGCAGTTTTGTGTGTGCTTGGGAAGAATGGGGGGGGGGGGGGCTACTTAGGGCATAATGAACCCACTATTTTAATGACATAATGTTCATAAGATTATCTAAGAATTCGCAGTATGATTTATATCCTAATCACAACCCAGAAACAAAGTAATATTTGAAAAAATAATACAAATCTTTTTCTTCTTTTTCTTCTTCTTCTTCTTTCGTTCGCTTGAAATTAGTTAGTTAGTTAGTCTTTCCTCTTGTGTCGAGTGCGGCACATAGGGCAGTGGTCATGACTCTCCATGCATGGCGGTTCGTTGCAATCTGTTGTAGGTCTTGGATGTTTGAGTGGCCCATGAGCGAGCCTTCCCTGATGATAGTTCTACGTAGGGTTTCCCTTGGTCTTCCACGAGATCTTTTCCCCTGTGGTGTCCAAATGAGGGCTTGGTAAGGAAGTCTTGATTTATCCATTCTAAGGGCGTGGCCGACATAGTTCCAGCGGCGTTTTCGTATAAAATTAGACACAAACTCTTGCCTGGATTCTTGAAATAGATTATCTATATCTGCAGTGATGTCTGTAGTATGAACTTCACTACCTTTTGTAATTCACTCAGTCACCTTTTAAAGTTTGGCTTGCACCGGTGTTCCTTTTGGAACTACAGCTTTGCCTCGATATGTTGTATTTGGGACAGTCTTGGAGGACTTAATCTGTTATCTCAAGTGCCAATTCAAATTAAACACCGTTATTTCCCCAAGTATAAAGCGCATTTATTTTCCCGAAATTAAGGGTATAAAAACAGTGTACAGTGTACAATAGTTGTATATTTTTACCGAATAATTTGTTGGAAAATATTTCGTTCAAATCTTCAGTTCGTAATGCCGGTTCAAGAGCGACATAACATACGGAGCTTTTTTTTTAAAGTTCCGTTTTGATCGCAGCGACAAACACCGACGGAAAATGTAAATGTACATATGCAGTATGTTTATGTGGTTCATTGGCTAGCCGTGTGATTTTTTTTAACTAGTTGCTATTTTGTCGAAATCTTGTTTGATGCAGCGTGTGGGTGATTTATGAGTGTAAAAAAAAAAAAAATACTTCCGCCAGATACGAGGTGTACGCGCCGATTTGTTTTTTTTTTTTTTTTTGGGTTAGAAAAAAAAAAGTGCTGCAGAAAATCAAAGGCAACTCATTGAGATTTATTTGCCAAATATTATGACTGATAGTATGGTTCGGAAATGGTGTCGAATGTTTAAAGAAGGGCGAATAAATATCCATGATGAAGTTTGTAGCGGTCAGCCGAGTGTAGTGACAGACGGTCTGGTCGAAGAAGTGAACCAAAGATTTCAGGAAAATTGTAGTTTCCCAATTTCTGCATTGTCTGTCGAATTTTCGGAAGTTTCACTTAACTTATTTACGACATTGTGATAAGAAACCTTGGATACAAAAAACTGTTTGCTATTAGCCCCCCCCCCCGCCCTCCCCCCCCCCAAAAAAAAAAGAAGTGAGTTGCTGTCCTCCGGAATTGTGCTTTTGCACGATAATGCTCGAACTCAAGTCGGAGATGGAACCGTTCAACTGTTGCAAAAAAGTCACTGGGAAATTGTTGACCCCCCGCCCTACAGCCCCGATCTGGCGCCAAGTGATTACCACCTCTTCATGCACCTAAAGAAGTGGCTGGCATCCCAGCGGTTTGAAACTGAGCATGAATTGCAGACAGGTGTCAATGCATGGTTCAAGACACTGGTGGCAGACTTCTATGACAGTGGAATTAATAACCTGGTGCCACCATACCAAAAATGTGATGAAGTCGATGGTAACTATGTTGACAAATAGTGTAAATGTGTGGTTCACTTCTGGCTGCAATAAATAATTGTTATATACCATGATTTTTTTAAATTTTATTTTATACTGGGACGTACTTAAAAAACGTGTAAATTTAGCAGTTCTTTCTCGTTGTAATAGTTTTGCACTTCGTGCTCATTGTTTGGCACTTTTTACATTAGATAACATTTCCTCCATACATGTATCAGAAAAGATTTGCGTACAGTGCTGAATTTAAATTAAAAGTGTTCAAGTTCGTAGCAGTAAATGGAAATCGTGCTGCTGAACGTAAGTGTGGTCCTCCTCCAGCTGAGAAAACGTATCTGAGACAAGCAACAGGAAGAAGAAACCGCACTGAACGTGAACCTTTATGTAATCATATTTCTCTTCTCTCCAAATTTGCGGCCCCATAATCAAGGTGCGCCTTATACATTGGATTGTGCCTGAATAAATAATTAAATTACACGATAGATAAAATAAGCAATAAATACTCTGAGAATTCGGTGCAGGGTTGAACAGGATTTGGGTGTGGTAAAAATGGTTACTATTACATATGTCATGACTAATGTGCAGTGACGTCACATTTGATAAGATAACATTGTAATTATGTTTTGTGACGCTGATATATATGTAGTTTAGGTTATTTAACAAACGTGGACAATGAACAAATCACATATGCAAAAAATAACTACGTGTGAAATGCGATGTCTCCGAAGAGTCACCAACAATACACGAAGAGACAGAGTCACAAACGTCAGCATTAGAGACAAAGTTGGAACAAGAGCATGCATGAAACATATTGAAAGACAGAGATTGAAGTGGTTTGGCCATTTAATAAGAATGCAACCGGATCAGATTGCCTATAAGGCCTTTTACAGTAGAACATCGGGAAGAAAGGCCAGAGGAAGACCCAGGAAAAAATAGATAGATGGAGTAGCTGAATACGGCCAGAAGATCCAGAAAACTGTCACTCAAATCACGCGAGAGGCATAAAACAAATATTTTAAACCACGACACTGGGCTGCAACCCGATAAAAGTGAAGAAGACAATAGATAGATAGATAGATAGATAGATAGATAGATAGATAGATAGATAGATAGATAGATAGATAGATAGATAGATAGATAGATAGATAGATAGATAGATAGATAGATAGATAGATAGATAGATAGATAGATAGATAGATAGATAGATAGATAGATAGATAGATAGATAGATAGATAGATAGATAGGTTATTTAAGTATCTAGGCAAATGGATAACATCCGATGGAAGATGTATCACAGAGATAAGGAACAGAAAAATGACAGGCTAAAACTGCATTAAATGAAATGAACACCACACAATAAGTCCATGTCACTGGAAGTTAGGAAAAGAATTATCTCTTGCTAAATAGAGCCAGTTTTAACATATGCATGGTTGAATTAACCAGTAAGTCCACTAAGCACCTTCTTGGAGCATCACAAGGGGGGGGGGGGGGGGGGGGGGGTGAGGCACCAAAGAAACTTATTATTTTTGGAGCTGAGCATTTACTTCTCGGTTGACATACCACGGCACAACAAAAGGATGATGACAATGAAATAAGGCTACTAGTCCTAAAACAGATACTGCCATTAGGGTATTCAAATCCATGACATATGAGGTAAGGCGGACAGTTCCCTTCCTCCCAGCTTTGACTGTCTTGACAATTCCATTTAACGGCACTATAGCAACTCCCCCAACATCCCATCGTGCCAATTCCACAGATTATCCCCCTTGGCGATGACGACATAAATATGGCAGCGACTTGTGGAATGTGCAGCAGATAGAGTACCTCTCCAGATTTCGCCAGATCTTTTCGTCTTTCTTTATATTGTCCAACAAACCGCTGCAACATCTGTGAATTACCAGGTATGTTGTTATGGAAATAAGATGAACTCAAAAAGCGGGCGAAGTTCAGGGTAGTTGGATTTTTGTTGTCCTATAAATTTGAAGGAAAACCGGACTGACTTGACTACGGGTACGAAGTGAGTCTCTACCTGTACAGTGAAAGAAGCTTTATATAGTGCGAACGACATGAAAGCCAGTGACCTACCTACACTGTTCTTTTGTAGAAATTTCCATACCGCATGTTTCCAGATGGAAAATGTTTGCGCTTATTTACTAGAACTGTACTACTTATTTATTAGAACTGTACTACTGGGGTACTGACATTTGCAGACTGATAGTTATAGACTAGACGATAGTTTGCTTTTAAATGCCTTCGTCCGTTTATTCTTTGTGTGGTTCGGACCTGGCGATGCAGTGAGATGATTATCTCATTATCATGATATAGAAAACGAAAACCATTTCATTTGTGAAGCTAGCATTAGATATATCCCTGAACGTTCTTGTAATGGTACCCCAGAACCATATGTACCCTTATTTCTCTTTGGATATTTGTTTTTAAATTTAAAGAAAATTATTGAATTTGTTAAAAAATATCAATTAAGAAGGAAACAGCAAAAGGGCAGTTTGTTTGATGAAAAAAAAAAAAGCATAAATTGAAAAGTGAAAAAAGAATCCTAGCCAGATTAACACCTTTCCTTTCATATTCCAGATACCATAAAGATATAAATTAACAGCTATGTTACAGCATAGAAGCTGCTCTTTAAAAAACAACTTTTTCAGTTCAGAGATATTAAATTGCTAGAGATTTCGGCTATCTTCAGAATAACGGTCCCAAATTATCGAGGCAGAAAATATACCCTAACAGGGCCTTAGTCACGTGTCAGTTGCGCACTTTCAGCGACTTAAATTGCGCACGTCCGCCACCGCCGAGAGTATCACCCACGTCGCTCACGCGGCGTGGATTGGGGCTAAACTAGATGGCTGGGACTCACGAGCAGCAGCTACCGCATTTCCTGCAGCTGCCTTGATTTTATTTGCTTTAGATCCCCGTTTGGGTTCCGGGGTCCTATTATAGAGAAAACAGGAAAAGACCCACTGCCTACCCAAAAGCATGTCGTAAGAGTTGACTAATTGGGAGCTTCCTTCAAGGTCAGAGTGCTTCTGCCTGAGAGGCAAAGAACCAACAGTCTGCACACATATGAGTCAGATCTGTCAGATGGATGCACATGCAGCACTCAGGTTCTGAAAGAGGACTGCAGTCCAGAATTGAACGAACAACCAGAACTTTCCGCTGGAGTTTACAGCCGATGAACACGAATAAGAAGAAGAAGAAAGTCTCTAGAACGCAGCACATTCAGTATGTCTGCCCTGTCCATACTTCTTCCTCCATCAGTCACTGCACACATGGCCAGTCTGGTGCAGACTGAATGCAACACGGCATCTCGGACACCTTAGATAGCATCACACAGCATAAACAGTCCAAGCACACACAGTTAAAGCAGAGAGGATTGACTTATTGCACTGGGTTATCCAATTTGGCTTAGTCTCTCTCTCTCCACAGAAGGGCTAGTTGCCTGCCTAAGGAATCGTACAGAGCATAAGCTCCATAGCTCTAGTGATGGATCTTGGTGGTGAAGTGGTCAAGCTATTTTCCTTGTGCTATGAAGGTCTCATGGGTTCAGTTCAGGGATGGTCGTTTTCACAACGACACTGGGGATCACTGCTGGAGAACAGAGCTTCTTCTTTGTGTGATGTTCTTGGCTGCTTGCTAGATGTTTTGCAGAGAGAGAGAGAGAGAGAGACCAATTCATTTGGGAGAACCTGGTGAAATGTAGTTGAGTCTCTCGACTTTAACTAACTTTAACTTGCTTTAAAATGGATAGTTCTGCTTAGCATTTCAAGCTACATCTGTTGTGGGATGAAGCTCTGACATTAGGTACAGAAATCGCCGTTTTAGGTTCTAGGGTCCCATTGTGGGGAAAACATGAATAGACCCACTGCCTCCCCAACGAGCATGTCATAGGAATCGACTAATTAATGGCTTCCTTCGAAGTTGGAGTTAATATGCCTGAGAGGGAAGGAGCCAGCAATCAGGATACAAATAAGTAAGATCTGTAAAATGGATATGCATGCAACATTCAGGTTCTGGAACAAGATTGTAGTCTAGAGGTGGACAAACAACCAGAACTTTCTGCCAGAGTTTAAAGCTGGGTGAACGCAGAAAAGAAGAAGTACAGAGATGTGTCTCTATCCAGTAAAACTTCAGCAATTTGAAATTCTAGTGTTTTTTTTTTTTCTGATGTTTTTCTAAATCTTTTTACTAATTGGACCTGGTTGAAACTCGTTAGGTTTGACTTTTACTAAAACATGACCTCAAAGAACTATGCTTCTGCCTTCTCCTCAGTATGGTTTTGAAATGGGACAATGTTTCGTCATTCCAGAAATGCTGTTATATCTTGTTTGTAGTTTGCTAGGGTGATGCTGTTCTGCAAAGTCATTAACATCTGTCCATGGGCTTTATCCCAAGAGGTAACCAAAGATAGCGCCCAGTGCATTGACTAATTTTGACTGGTGCACATTCACATTCCTAACAGAGGTTATATATCAGGTTAAAGTTTTCACATCTAAACAGAACGTATACCAGAGTTACCATATACCAAAGTGAACCTATACCAAGATACCACTGTATTTGGCAATCATATTATAATTGCTCTAACTGAACATGATGTGTTGGAATCATTGCCATCTGTGTTTTCCTTTCATTTGACAGTCTAGGTAAGGAATCGGTCGAGAACAACATTTAATATGGCATCTATTGAGTGTGAATCTCAGAATATTGATGAAGAACAGCTGATGGAACTGTCATCTTCATTGACTGACACAGTTAGTGCCAGGAATTTGGATGGTGCTATCTCCGGAGAAGATGATGGGGATCAGAAAGACAGCAGGTAGGGGTGAAATTATTTTACAAAAAATACTGCCTTTAAAAAAATAATTTATGATGTCTTTCCATTAGTCTCAATGCACTTTTTGAATTATCATCATCTTCCTTTCCCTTTTCCCAACAAAGTATACTTAATTCATCATCATCTTATGCCATTCATATGCAGCATAGTTCTCGCAGTCTATTCCTCCTTTCTGTTCAGTCCTGTAAGTCTTTTTCAGTATTATGGATTAAATCCAGTTTAGCCTCTTTGGCCTCTCTCATCGTTTGTTTTAGTGTATTTTCTTGGATGTCCTATTTCCCGCATTGTGTTCATCAGTTCCTCAATAAATTCTGCAGTCTGTCTGTCTGTCTGTTGAGGTTTACTTGTGATCCTTTTGATCGTTGACAGAATATGGTTTTCCATTAACAGGCTGGAAAAGCAAGAGTTGAGAAACCCCAGTGGCGGGATAGACATTGAAGGTGAAGACGGTGACAGCATTTCACCATGTGCTACCGTGGTGCCTAGCAACACTCCTGTCACGGGAGACTCAGGTCATGTCTCTCCAACTATGGAGGTACATTCAGCTTGTAGTTTGTTCTTGTTTGTATTCTTGGGAGAGAACTAACATTCTAGTGAATAAGAGGAGAAAAATATACTGGTGACACACATTGATTATCCTGATAATTGTGTAACGAGAATGTCCCTTGTTTCAAAATGGACTAATATGGCATGAGTGGATGCCTGCATCAGTACACCAGCATTGCAGGGAAACACGCGGATATACTGTCCATGATATGTAGGAGTGCGAGGGAATGAAAGAGTGGATTTTCTGGCAACAAGAGCGAAAGCTACGGGAACACTTGTACCGGACAAGGATCTTATAAAGACCATATATTAACGAATGTTGACAGAAGTCACAAGATTAGATGTAATAACGTGTTCAAGAATGTGTGAAGGAGGAATTAAGTGTGAATCCAGCAAAGAGGGACGGATGAGAGAAAAAGAGCGACATGTGTATAATCAGTATACTACGAGAACAGTTAGCATTTACACCTTAAGACAATTGCTGCGAAAGATGAAGCATCTGTGGGTATGCCCGGTGTGATATGATGTTAATTCTTAAACTTACATGTTGGTTTAAATTCTGTCACTGATAAGAGACAATGAAATATTCCACACTACAGATAATACTTTTTAATTGCTTGTTTTCACATTATTTTTTTTTCACTTATGATCAGTAACACTAATTTCTTAATTAATTCTGATAGCTGAGTTGAACGATTAATAATTTCAGATCATGGATTATTTCTGTCAGTCTCATACCACTGGTTTTAACAATTGTTTATTGTCACAAATTAATACTCACTGTCTCTTGTCACTGTTTAACAAATATTTCTGACCACAGATCGGTGATAAATCTGAAATCACTGATTAATACCAAATATACAAACATTTCTTGTCACAGATTAGTTCTGAAAGTTTTTTTTTTTAAATCCCTGGATATAACAGGCATTTAGATCAAAGATCAGTTCCAGTAGTCTGAAGTCACTATTTTAAGCTTTCACTTCTGGTCAGAAATCACAGATAAGTTTATAAAGAATCAGGTCCTGTTAATAATTTCTTGTCAGAGATCAGTTCTGACAGTCTCAAGCCATTAATTTTGATGGTAATTTAATGTCACAGATTAGTTTTGACAGCCTCAGGCCACTAATTTTGACAGTGATTTTTTTGTCACAGAATAGTTCCGACAGTCTCAGTGACTGCACCCTGCAGCCACAAGGTCCACCAGACAACCAAACTGCTGACGATGTTGTTGAGTCTGACGATGTCATAGATTATGCCAATGATGCCTCTGCCTGTGTTCCTGTTGCAAATGTACAGACTGATCCTGTTAATGTGGAAACTTCCTCTGTGAGTAAAGAAGATGGGCCCAGCAGTCAGAACAGTGTGCCAGTTAAAGTAGGGCGGCATGAAAAGAGGGAAGAGAAGAAGAAAAGCAAGAAGAAAGAGGATAAAAGTGTTGGTAAGCTGTTACTGGTTCCTTGTGATGTCTAGTTATAATAATGTTCTGTATATATCCTCTTGTTGACACACAGGGCATTCACAGATGATCTCCATTGATGACAGTCTGCTGCTTTTCTGCACACTGTATCACAGTTGAAACATCTTCATTTCCCTTTTTCTAGTCCTTCTCCAGGTTTCCTTAGGTTGTCCATTTCTCCTTTTTCCATCTGCCATCCACCGGAGATTTAGCTGTCCTTGCCAAAGTCACAGACTCTCTGCAAATGGTTTCAAGCCATCTTCATCTTCTTTCTTTAATAATATTTGCTGGTAATGAGCATTTGAGGGTGTGGGGTAGAGGGGGGGGGGTGGGGGGGGGGGGTTCACCACCTGTGGATAGGGGAGCAAGGATGACAGCACAGTGAAGCTAATAAAAAAAAACAAGTACATAAGGTGTAAATATAGCAGCTTTACTTTAAAAAGGTACACTGCGGTTACATCCAAATGATGTGAGACGAATTAAAAATAAAGTTATTTTGGGTTATTTCCTGTGATATGATTTGAAGATTCAAATCTTTTCTCTAGGGTATCCCTGTATGTTGGGGGAAATGAGTAGGCAGACAGATTGGGTAGTGGATTGGTGCATGATGAGAGCACATGTAGTTGGGCCATTTGGAGGCATGTGAGCAATAGGATGGAGAATATGGTGAGACAAGGAGTGGCTTTGGCACCTGGGGGATGCACATCACTAACAGGAAAAGAAAGATCTTGGCTGCCTAAGTCTTCACAACATCATAGCATACCAAACATCCAAGCACACCCTAGCTTAGTTGTCTAAGTCTTCACAACATCACAGCATACCAAACATCCGAGGGCACCCTAGCTTAGCTGCCTAAGTCTTTACAACATCACAGCATACCAACATCTGAGCGCACCCTACTTTAGCTGCCTAAGTCTTCACAACAACACAGCATACCAAACATCCTAGGGCACCCTACTTTAGCTGCCTAAGTCTTCACAACAACACAGCATACCAAACATCCTAGGGCACCCTACTTTAGCTGCCTAAGTCTTCACAACAACACAGCATACCAAACATCCTAGGGCACCCTACTTTAGCTGCCTAAGTCTTCACAACAACACAGCATACCAAACATCCTAGTGCACCCTACTTTAGCTGCCTAAGTCTTCACAACATCACAGCATACCAACATCTGAGCCCTAGCCTAGCTGTCTAAGTCTTTGCAACATAACAGCATACCAACATCTGAGCGCACCCTAGCCTAGTAGCTTAAATCTTCACAATACCACAGCATACCAACATCTGAGCGTACCCTAGCCTAGCTGCCTAAGTCTTCACAACATCACAGCATACCAACATCTGAGCGTACCCTAGCCTAGCTGCCTAAGTCTTCACAACATCACAGCATACCAACATCTGAGCGCACCCTAGCCTAGTAGCTTAAGTCTTCACAAAACCACAGCATACCAACATCTGAGCGCACCCTAGCCTAGCTGCCTAAGTCTTCACAACATCACAGCATACCAACATCTGAGCGCACCCTAGCCTAGTAGCTTAAATCTTCACAATACCACAGCATACCAACATCTGAGCGTACCCTAGCCTAGCTGCCTAAGTCTTCACAACATCACAGCATACCAACATCTGAGCGCACCCTAGCCTTGTAGCTTAAGTCTTCACAAAACCACAGCATACCAACATCTGAGCGCACCCTAGCCTAGCTGCCTAAGTCTTCACAACATCACAGCATACCAACATCTGAGCGCACCCTAGCCTAGTAGCTTAAATCTTCACAATACCACAGCATACCAACATCTGAGCGTACCCTAGCCTAGCTGCCTAAGTCTTCACAACATCACAGCATACCAACATCTGAGCGCACCCTAGCCTAGTAGCTTTAATCTTCACAATACCACAGCATACCAACATCTGAGCGCACCCTAGCCTAGTAGCTTAAATCTTCACAATACCACAGCATACCAACATCTGAGCGCACCCTAGCCTAGTAGCTTTAGTCTTCACAAAACCACAGCATACCAACTTCCGAGCGCACCCTAGCTTAGCTGCCTTTCGTTTGTTAAACTGTGAGGTCTAGCAGTGCAAAGTAGATGTTGGGAAAAGAAGAAGTCAATTCTTTCTGTTCCAGTCGGTGCGCCTTGTGTGATGAACTATTGCTCTTGTGCCTGAAGCAACATTTAATATAATATTTCATTTATATTTGATCTTAGAAACTAAAGAAATCTGGCTATATTTTTCAACGCATAGCACAGTATATATTTTATATACATTATATAAATCTCTGTGTGTGTGTGTGTGCGTGCATGCGTGTGTGTGGTGTGTGTGTGTGTGTGTGAGTATTTTGTTGGAAGAGTTATGACAAGGAATGGATTCAAAAACTTAGTGATGGCTTACAAGATTGATGGAAAGAGAGGAAGGGTAAGGTAAGGAGATTAAAAAAAACTGAATGGTTTGGGGGTGAGACAAGGGCACTAACCAGATCTGCAGTTTTTGATGATCTTGTGAGAATAAAAAAAAAAATGTGATAGCCTACGCTTCTCGATAGCACATGATGATGATCATGATTATGTGTTGCTTTGAAACTTATTTGTGAGTCATTATTCAAATTGGTTATCTGTCCTCATCGAGGAATCAAAAGAGATCATATTTGTTGTTTGAACAGAACACATCCTACGAGCTTTGAACAGTCTCCAGAGTCCCGAGGAGAAGCTGGCTGCTCTGTGTAAAAAGTTTGCAGACTTGCATGAAGAACACCGCGTGCTGCAGACTTCTTTCAAGACCCAGCAGCGATCCCTGACAGCGGTAAGTTACTTCACTGATCTGTTTTATTCATGATGTTTGTGCCAGGTCCTCCCTTGATGCCAATGAAGAATAAATGAAGTCTTGCTGATGTTGAAAAAGTGCTGGGTTCTCAATGTTCCTACTGCCAGGCTGCAATTACTGGCTGTTTGTAGTCATCACTTTGTGACTGGCTATCCCACTCACGGGAGCCGTCATGGTGTAGAGGCTAGATGCTCGCCTGCGGATCGGAAGGTCGTGGGTTCGGGTTCTGACGGAGCCAATTGTTTTTAAAAAATAGCCTTGGCTCAAGGTGACCCAGTTGTGAGTGGGTACTGCATAAAAGTCCTGGGATGTGAAGGTGGCGGGTGTGATACTGACATCATCCACCATGTGCCGATTGGTCTATAAAATATAGGTCTAGCCCTGTATTCCCAATACACCTGGAGACATGGATAACGTCCTTTACTTTTGCTTATCCCACTCACAGAAAATGCAGTAGTACTTGTGTTTTTATCCTGTAGTCCAAGCAAGTGAGTGACCACTTTCAAGTCACCGCAAAGTGACGAATGATGATGATGATCGTAGTTTATACACATCAGAAGCTGCTTAATGTTCTCTTTAAGTACCTTTCATATGAACTGTCTGACCAACTGAAATTGATAGTAACACATTAGCATTATTCAACAGCTTAGCTTTGGGACTCATCTTGGGTGAATCAGTGAAGAGCCCCTTCACTCTTCCAAATGTAATTGATTTTGAGGGCTGCTTTTAAACCAGAAATGTTGTGGCATGGAGGAAAGTCTTTGAAAAAGAATGTTGTATGCGGCTTCTGGCAGTTCCTGCCAGAAGATTCCAGTGTTGCAATCTGGAACCTAAAAGCTCCACCTTGTTCTTCGGTATGTGTGAAAGATGGAAGTTTGGAAGGGCCGAATGTAAGACAGGCCTGCGTGCCTAATTTGTAACCCTTTGAAAATAAAGTTCGTTCGTTCGTATATTCAGATCTCTTACAAAATCATTCAGTTCACTTTGGGTATGGTTTAGTAAATATAGTTTTCTTAGAAGCTGGGTCGCTTGAGGTTGATAGTGCACCAGTGTCCTCCTCTTCATTAGTGGAAGCAGCCGAAGATGATTCTGGCACTTTGGAAACTTGTAAGTCATCACCATGGGGTTCTTGACATATTGCAGAGGGGATGTTTAGATATTAAAGAGTCCATTTTTCTCTTCTCTGATATGAATTTCCCAATTGGAAGGACTATGCCAAGGTAACAGTTGTTGAAATGATCAGTGGGTTCTTCACTTGCTTTTTGCCAGTCAGCCTCAGTTTAAGATGTGCTGCACATTTATTGTAGCATATATATGATGCCTAGCTCTTATCTGGATCTACTTTGCAGGCAAAATATGTACACTGTGGCCTTCTTAATTACTTTAGTTATATTTCATTTTTATGACAGAAATGTCATCTCACCACATGTATACCAGAAATTATTAGTGCTGCTCACACATGTCCTAGGCAACACACTAAAACACACTAATAACAAAATTGTTCCATTGCTTTGCTTGAAGAAATAATTGTCACATTTTAAACAGCATCCCCAAAGGTGAAGCTTTAGGTTATAATTATGATGAGGTTATGTGCACCATATAAAATAGCTAAGCATTGTTCTGTACCCCTGAAAAAAGACTTTTGCGGTATTGATGCGATCAAAGGAGACCCACAGATTGTCCCGACCTGCAAGGAATTTGTCTGCTGGCCAGCCAGTGGGCGTACCGGTCGCCGATGTGTAGCAAAACTGTTTCAGAAAAAAGATATTTATACACAAAAATGGTGTAACCTTAGGTAGGATTGCATCACCAACTTCTAGTTACAATTTTATTGGTGGTCATTAGAAAAAATGGGATGGTGTTTGTATGGGAATGTCTTGAGTGCAGTTATCTTGGTTCTTGAACTGGTAAAGCAATCAGCAACAATGCCCCCTCAATTAAAGTGGGTAGACACATCCACTTATGACATACTAAAGTTGGTGAATAATTTTTCGTTTTCATTCATTGCCCCTAGTCCGTGTTTTCCCCATAGACTCTTCATCTTCTTCACGGTAATCTCCGGCGAAAAGTTCTTGTTGTTCATTCCCCTCTGATCTTTAGTCTTCTTCCAGAAGCTGAGTGTTGTGTGCACTTGTGTTACATGATATTACATATCTGTATGCAGACTGATGGTTCCTTGCCTCTCAGGCAGATGCACTCCGACTTCCCATACTCTCTTCATAACCTGTATTATCGGATTCTGTCTTGACATTCAGGCCTTCCTTAACACTTTTGAAATTTTCATTTATTTATAGTACTTTGAAGTTTGATGTAAATTTCCTCCTTAAGACTTAGTTTTAAGTGGCTTAAGTGGCTTTTTGAGGCTTTCAGCATCCATCTTTTTTCTTGTTTAGGTTGCTCAAAATGTCAATACACATCATCCATCTTTACTATTGTATAGGTAGTCCAAAATGCCAATTCTCATCATCCATCTTTACTTTTGTGTAGGTACTCCAAAATATAAATTCTTATCATCCATCTTTACTATTGTGTAGGTAGCCCAAAATGTCAGTTCTCATCATCCATCTTTACTATTGTATGGTTAACCCATAACGTCAGTGTTTTCCACATCCATCTTTATTATCATTTACCTTGCAACATATTTCAATGTTGTCTGTAACCAGGTAGCCAGAGAAAAAGATCAGCTGCAGTCAGAGCATACCAAAGCTATGATGGCCAAGAGCAAGCTGGAGTCTCTGTGTAGGGAGCTGCAGAAACACAATAAAGTCATTGAGGTAGGTTATGTGGACCAAAGCTATAGTAACAGACAGGTCTGAGTCACTGATTGAAACATTTTGTTCAACTTCATTCCAACCCATGTTGGCAATAGGTGCTGCACTTGCATTATTAATCATAATTTCAGGAATATTGTGATTGTCTGGCTCAAATTCTTCAGCGACAGCTGCAGTATGGACACTTCTAGATCTAGCTGTGTTATTGCTCTGACCTTTTCCCTTATCACCCTTATCATTTTTTGCAGCAGATGGTTTATTGGAAGATGCCATTTTAGAAAAATCACATATTGATAGACATATTGATGTCACTTCTGAACCAAAGGCATAGGGATAAAAATATTGAAGTCACTGAGATAGTGGTCCTGAACCAAAGGTATAGTGATAGATATATTGAAGTCACAAATTTGGGGGTCCTGAACCAAAGGTATAGTGATAGATGTATTGAAGTCACTGAGATAGTGGTCCTGAACCAAAGGTATAGTGATAGATATATTGAAGTCACTGAAATAGAGGTCCTGAACCAAAGGTATAGTGATAGATATATTGAAGTCACTGAGATAGAGGTCCTGAACCAAAGGTATAGTGATAGATATATTGAAGTCACTGAGATAGGGGTCCTGAACCAAAGGTATAGTGATAGATATATTGAAGTCACTGAGATAGGGGTCCTGAACCAAAGGTATAGTGATAGATGTATTGAAGTCACTGATGTCTTGAACCTAAGGTAAAGGTTACTTGCAGAACCAGCCCCTGGCTGTTGTGTGGTTTTTCTAGGCAAATTTACGTCCAGTAGTTTGCCATTGCTTTCTGGACGGTCGGCTTTTTTGATACCATTGTCGAAACCAACGCAAGGCGCATGGCCCGCAGCTGGGATCGAACCCGGCATTACGAAGCGTTTGCATCGACTTAGCCACAGAGCCGATGAACCTAAGGTATAGTGATAAAAATATCAAAGTCACCGAAATAGGGTAGGGGTTTGAACCAAAGGTAATAGTTTTAGACATTAAAGTCACTGAGATAGTGGCCCTGATGGATGTATTGAAGTCACTGAGGTAGGAGTCCCGTATCAAAAGTATTGGTATAAAACTGAGTCACCGGGTACTAAAGATATAGTGACAGACATGGATAAATCATTCAGGTAATCTATCCTGAACGAAAGGTATAGTGATAGACAGATCTAAGTCATTGAAGTAGGGGTCCTGAAGCAAAGGTTTTATAGTGACGGGTAAATTGTTATAGGGAAATGCAAATACCAGGTTTGACTGTGGGACACAGTCAGAAACGAGGCAGGATGACATAGTGATCAACTGTAAGCAGTTGCCACTGAGGATGATCATGTATCAGGTTCTTTGCAAAATGTTGCATAGTTGATGAGGTCAGCATCACTTATGCTGGGTATGATTGCTTGACACGCTAAGATATGATTGACTGACATAGTTCTCATGATTGCTTGACATGCTTAGATATGATTGACTGACATAGTTCTCATGATTGCTTGACATATTTATTGTGATTGCTTGACATCCTTGCCATGATTGCTTGACATCCTTGTCATGATTGCTGGACATACTTGACTTGTCAAAATTAGTTGATATACTTTTCATAATTGCCTGGCCCACTTGTCCAACAGAGTGAGAGCATCAAGCGGGCAAAGGAGAGTGATGAAAAAAGAAAGGAGATCTCAGCTCATTTCAGTGTAAGTTTGATATTTAGTAGTGAAAGGGTTATGTTTGGTAATGTCAGGTTTATGTCTAGCAGTGTAAGTTTGATATTTAGTAGTGAAAGGGTTATGTTTGGTAATGTCAGGTTTATGTCTAGCAGTGTAAGTTGTATATTTAGTAGTGAAAGGGTTATGTTTGGTAATGTCAGGTTTATGTCTAGCAGTGTAAGTTTTATATTTGGTAGTGAAAGTTATGTTTGGTAATGTTAAGTTTACGTCTGACAGTGTAGGTTTTATATTTAGTAGTGAAAGTTATGTTTGGTAATGTCAGGTTTATGTCTAGCAGTGTAAGTTTTATATTTAGTAGTGAAAGGGTTATGTTTGGTAATGTCAGGTTTATGTCTAGCAGTGTAAGTTTTATATTTGGTAGTGAAAGTTATGTTTGGTAATGTTAAGTTTATGTCTGACAGTGTAGGTTTTATATTTAGTAGTGAAAGTTATGTTTGGTAATTCCAGGTTTATGTCTGGCAGTGTTTTTGAGTTTAGTAGCATTTGTTTTATGTTTAGTTGTGTACGTTTTGTATCGAAGAGTAAGTTTTATATTAAGTGGGGTGTTTTATGATTTGTAGTATACAAGATATGTTTAGTGGTGTGTTTTATGTTTAGTAGTGTTAGGTCCATGTTTAATGATGTAAGTTTTATATTTAATTTTGTAAGTTTTATGTTTATTAGTGAAACTATTATAGAACAGAATCTGACATGACAGTACATGAGTTAAATTCAAAAATAAATATTGTGTGTCAGCAGAATTAAGCTATATGAATGGTCATTTTTTTTTTGCCCACAGAACACCATCAGTGAGATACAAAACCAGATGAGTGACAACAGTGAGAAGAACAACCTTCTAAGGAAGGAAAATGAAAATCTGGCAGAGCAGCTTCGGGTGTTCATGACACAGTGCCAGGCTCGTGATGAGGTATGTGTTTGGTAACAGTGAATGTGTGGAGCTTGTCATGAGGTATGTGTTGTTGGTATGTGTTTGGTAACAGTGAATGTGTGGAGCTTGTCATGAGGTATGTGTTGTTGGTATGTGTTTGGTAACAGTGAATGTGTGGAGCTCATGGTGAGATGTGTGTTGTTGGTATGTGTTTGGTAACAGTGAATGTGTGGAGCTTGTCATGAGGTATGTGTTGTTGTTGTGTGTTTGGTAACAGTGAATGTGTGGAGCTCGTGGTGAGATATGTGTTGTTGTTGTGTGTTTGGTAACAGTGAATGTGTGGAGCTTGTCATAAGGTATGTGTTGTTGGTATGTGTTTGGTAACAGTGAATGTGTGGAGCTCATGGTGAGATGTGTGTTGTTGGTATGTGTTTGGTAACAGTGAATGTGTGGAGCTCAGGGTGAGATGTGTGTTGTTGGTATGTGTTTGGTAACAGTGAATGTGTGGAGCTCGGGGTGAGATGTGTGTTGTTGGTATGTGTTTGGTAACAGTGAATATGTGGAGCTCGGGGTGAGATGTGTGTTGTTGGTATGTGTTTGTTAACAGTGAATGTGTGGAGCTCATGTAAGATGTGTGTTGTTGTGTGTTTGGTAACAGTGAATGTGTGGAGCTCATGGTAAGATGTGTGTTGTTGGTGTGTGTTTGGTAACAGTGAATGTGTGGAGCTTGTCATAAGGTATGTGTTGTTGGTATGTGTTTGGTAACAGTGAATGTGTGGAGCTCATGGTGAGATGTGTGTTGTTGGTATGTGTTTGGTAACAGTGAATGTGTGGAGCTCAGGGTGAGATGTGTGTTGTTGGTATGTGTTTGGTAACAGTGAATGTGTGGAGCTCGGGGTGAGATGTGTGTTGTTGGTATGTGTTTGGTAACAGTGAATATGTGGAGCTCGGAGTGAGATGTGTGTTGTTGGTATGTGTTTGTTAACAGTGAATGTGTGGAGCTCATGTAAGATGTGTGTTGTTGTGTGTTTGGTAACAGTGAATGTGTGGAGCTCATGGTAAGATGTGTGTTGTTGGTGTGTGTTTGGTAACAGGGAATGTGTGGAGCTCGTGGTGAGATATGTGTTGTTGTTGTGTGTTTGGTAACAGTGAATGTGTGGAGCTCATGGTGAGATATGTGTTGTTGGTGTGTGTTTGGTAACAGTGAATATGTGGAGCTCGTTGTGAGGTGTGTGTTTGGTAACAGTGAGTGTGTGGAGCTCGTAATGAGATGTGTGTTGTTGGTGTGTGTTTGGTAACAGTGAATGTGCGGAGCTTGTGGTGAGATATGTGTTGTTGTTGTGTGTTTGGTAACAGTGAATGTATGGAGCTCATGGTGAGATGTGTGTTGTTGGTGTGTGTTTGGTAACAGTGAATGTGTGGAGCTCATGGTGAGATGTGTGTTGTTGGTGTGTGTTGTGGTAACAAGGAATGTGTGGAGCTCATAATGAGCTGTGAGTTGTTAGTAACTGTGTGAAGCTTGTGATTAGCTATGGGTTGTTGGTTTGGTTGGTAATTGTGTGAAGCTTGGGGTAAGCTGTGGGTTGTTGGTTTGGTTGGTAACTGTGTGAAGCTTGGGGTAAGCTGTGGGTTGTTGGTTTGATTGGTAACTGTGTGAAGCTTGGGGTAAGCTGTAAGTTGTTTGTTTGGTTGGTAACTGTGTGAAGCTTGTGATAAGCTAGGAGTTGTTTGGTTTGTAACTGTATGAAGCTTGTGATAAGCTAGGAGTTGTTTGGTTGGTAACTGTATAAAGCTTGTGATAAGCTAGGAGTTGTTTGGTTTGTAACTGTATGAAGCTTGTGATAAGCTAGGAGTTGTTTGGTTGGTAACTGTATGAATCTTGTGATAAGCTAGGAGTTGTTTGGTTGGTAACTGTGTGAAGCTTGTGATAAGCTAGGAGTTGTTTGGTTGGTAACTGTGTGAAGCTTGTGATAAGCTAGGAGTTGTTTGATTGGTAACTGTATGAAGCTTGTGATAAGCTAGGAGTTGTTTGGTTGGTAACTGTGTGAAGCTTGTGATAAGCTAGGAGTTGTTTGGTTGGTAACTGTGTGAAGCTTGTGATAAGCTAGGAGTTGTTTGGTTGGTAACTGTATGAAGCTTGTGATAAGCTAGGAGTTGTTTGGTTTGTAACTGTATGAAGCTTGTGATAAGCTAGGAGTTGTTTGGTTTGTAACTGTATGAAGCTTGTGATAAGCTAGGAGTTGTTTGGTTGGTAACTGTGTGAAGCTTGTGATAAGCTAGGAGTTGTTTGGTTGGTAACTGTGTGAAGCTTGTGATAAGCTGTGGGTTGTTTGGTTGGTAACTGTATGAAGCTTGTGATAAGCTAGGAGTTGTTTGATTGGTAACTGTGTGAAGCTTGTGATAAGCTGTGGGTTGTTTGTTTGGTTGGTAACTGTATGAAGCTTGTGATAAGCTAGGAGTTGTTTGGTTGGTAACTGTATGAAGCTTGTGATAAGCTAGGAGTTGTTTGGTTGGTAACTGTATGAAGCTTGTGATAAGCTGTGGGTTGTTTGTTTGGTTGGTAACTGTGTGAAGCTTGTGATAAGCTAGGAGTTGTTTGGTTGGTAACTGTATGAAGCTTGTGATAAGCTAGGAGTTGTTTGGTTGGTAACTGAATGAAGCTTGTGATAAGCTGTGGGTTGTTTGTTTGGTTGGTAACTGTGTGAAGCTTGTGATAAGCTAGGAGTTGTTTGGTTGGTAACTGTATGAAGCTTGTGATAAGCTAGGAGTTGTTTGGTTGGTAACTGTATGAAGCTTGTGATAAGCTAGGAGTTGTTTGGTTGGTAACTGTGTGAAGCTTGTGATAAGCTAGGAGTTGTTTGGTTGGTAACTGTGTGAAGCTTGTGATAAGCTAGGAGTTGTTTGGTTGGTAACTGTATGAAGCTTGTGATAAGCTGTGGGTTGTTTGTTTGGTTGGTAACTGTGTGAAGCTTGTGATAAGCTAGGAGTTGTTTGGTTGGTAACTGTGTGAAGCTTGTGATAAGCTAGGAGTTGTTTGGTTGGTAACTGTATGAAGCTTGTGATAAGCTGTGGGTTGTTTGTTTGGTTGGTAACTGTATGAAGCTTGTGATAAGCTGTGGGTTGTTGGTTTGGTTGGTAACTGTATGAAGCTTGTGATAAGCTGTGGGTTGTTGGTTTGATTGGTAACTGTATGAAGCTTGTGATAAGCTAGGAGTTGTTTGGTTGGTAACTGTATGAAGCTTGTGATAAGCTAGGAGTTGTTTGGTTTGTAACTGTATGAAGCTTGTGATAAGCTAGGAGTTGTTTGGTTGGTAACTGTATGAAGCTTGTGATAAGCTAGGAGTTGTTTGGTTTGTAACTGTGTGAAGCTTGTGATAAGCTAGGAGTTGTTTGGTTGGTAACTGTGTTAAGCTTGTGATAAGCTGTGGGTTGTTGGTTTGATTGGTAACTGTGTGAAGCTTGTGATAAGCTAGGAGTTGTTTGGTTGGTAACTGTATGAAGCTTGTGATAAGCTAGGAGTTGTTTGGTTGGTAACTGTGTGAAGCTTGTGATAAGCTAGGAGTTGTTTGGTTGGTAACTGTGTGAAGCTTGTGATAAGCTAGGAGTTGTTTGGTTGGTAACTGTATGAAGCTTGTGATAAGCTAGGAGTTGTTTGGTTGGTAACTGTGTGAAGCTTGTGATAAGCTAGTTGTTTGGTTGGTAACTGTGTGAAGCTTGTGATAAGCTAGGAGTTGTTTGGTTGGTAACTGTATGAAGCTTGTGATAAGCTAGGAGTTGTTTGGTTGGTAACTGAATGAAGCTTGTGATAAGCTGTGGGTTGTTTGTTTGGTTGGTAACTGTGTGAAGCTTGTGATAAGCTAGGAGTTGTTTGGTTGGTAACTGTGTGAAGCTTGTGATAAGCTAGGAGTTGTTTGGTTGGTAACTGTATGAAGCTTGTGATAAGCTGTGGGTTGTTGGTTTGGTTGGTAACTGTATGAAGCTTGTGATAAGCTGTGGGTTGTTTGTTTGGTTGGTAACTGTGTGAAGCTTGTGATAAGCTGTGGGTTGTTAGTAACTGTATGAAGCTTGTGATAAGCTAGGAGTTGTTTGGTTGATAACTGTATGAAGCTTGTGATAAGCTGTGGGTTGTTTGTTTGGTTGGTAACTGTGTGAAGCTTGTGATAAGCTAGGAGTTGTTTGGTTGGTAACTGTATGAAGCTTGTGATAAGCTAGGAGTTGTTTGGTTGGTAACTGAATGAAGCTTGTGATAAGCTGTGGGTTGTTTGTTTGGTTGGTAACTGTGTGAAGCTTGTGATAAGCTAGGAGTTGTTTGGTTGGTAACTGTATGAAGCTTGTGATAAGCTAGGAGTTGTTTGGTTGGTAACTGTATGAAGCTTGTGATAAGCTAGGAGTTGTTTGGTTGGTAACTGTGTGAAGCTTGTGATAAGCTAGGAGTTGTTTGGTTGGTAACTGTGTGAAGCTTGTGATAAGCTAGGAGTTGTTTGGTTGGTAACTGTATGAAGCTTGTGATAAGCTGTGGGTTGTTTGTTTGGTTGGTAACTGTGTGAAGCTTGTGATAAGCTAGGAGTTGTTTGGTTGGTAACTGTATGAAGCTTGTGATAAGCTGTGGGTTGTTTGTTTGGTTGGTAACTGTATGAAGCTTGTGATAAGCTGTGGGTTGTTGGTTTGGTTGGTAACTGTATGAAGCTTGTGATAAGCTGTGGGTTGTTGGTTTGATTGGTAACTGTATGAAGCTTGTGATAAGCTAGGAGTTGTTTGGTTGGTAACTGTATGAAGCTTGTGATAAGCTAGGAGTTGTTTGGTTTGTAACTGTATGAAGCTTGTGATAAGCTAGGAGTTGTTTGGTTGGTAACTGTATGAAGCTTGTGATAAGCTAGGAGTTGTTTGGTTTGTAACTGTGTTAAGCTTGTGATAAGCTGTGGGTTGTTGGTTTGATTGGTAACTGTGTGAAGCTTGTGATAAGCTAGGAGTTGTTTGGTTGGTAACTGTATGAAGCTTGTGATAAGCTAGGAGTTGTTTGGTTGGTAACTGTGTGAAGC